ATATATACACTTTACCTATACATATATTTTACACATACACATATATATTTTATACATATATATATATGTGTGTGTGTGTGTGTGTGTGTGTATATATATTTATTTTATTTTATTTTTTACACAGGATCTTGCTAAATTGCCCAGGAAGGTCTTGCTCTTGAACTTGTGGTCCTCCTGCCTTAGCCTCCTGAGTAGCTGCGATTAGAGGCATGCACCACTATAGAACAGCTTCCTTTCTCTTCCTCCTTTCACTGGTAGTAGAGTAGTTGTGTGAAAGTTGCATTAACCATTGAGGTTTGAAACATGTCTAGGCATGTCTGGTGAACGGTTGGGATGGGCCTTCCGGGAGCATACTTACACAATACTGGGAACCTTCGAAAACTGAAGGTAGAAAATTGCAAAAATGAGAATAAAGCCTCAGCTGTCATAGGAGAGGCTGAATTTGTACACGTGGTACAGGAGCAGTATATGGTCAAATCGCCAAAAAACATATGAGATCTATTTTTTTGTTGTTGTTGTTGTTTTGAGACAGGGTCTCACTTTGTAGTGCAAGCTGGCCTCAAGATTGTTGTGATCCTCCTGCCTCAGCTGGCATTATAGGCATACACCACCACTCTTGGCTGAGATATATTGCATAGATTGTGTCTGCAAGTCCTTTAATAGTATATAACTGATAAGAATTTGTTATTACTTGCATGATAACGCTCACCACATGCTGTCTTTATAGAAACATGTTTGCAGACAGAAAAATGCACACATACCAGGGGTCTGCATAAGAAAACATAGCCCTTTACTGGCCCCATCTGTTTATAAATATTATCAGCAAATGTTATTATGACTCATTACATCCTAGTTTTACACTATTATTGGATTTTAATGGGGTCAGTTCGAAAATAGGACTTAATTATCCAAAACAGGAAAAGAGGAATAAAATTCATATAAATACGCATAGAATGGGGCATTATGGTTTTTGCTTTCACACAGAAATGAAATCTTGAAGTGATTTGTTATTGTAGAACTAATTTCTTGCTGGGAACTATTTTTGCTTATTTCACCATTAGATTTTTACTACATTGTTAATATTATCTCTCTCCATCCTTCCTATATAAGTAAATAAGTACCTTATTTCCTCTTGCCAGGCAAGCAGAGATTCCAAGTAAGTGATGAAGAAATCCTTTTCCTCCTCGTTGATTCTTCTGACCCTTTTAATCTCTTCTACACCCCCAGCAGAGGTAAGCATTAACTTGCCTTGCCTCAGGTAACTGTGGAGACTTTGAGATCACAATTATGAAATCATCATGTCACACACCTACTCAAAGTTCTCTGCTGCATGCTTGCAATTCTTTGCTCATTGTACAAAAGAGCCTGGAATTTATCTGCCGAATTTATCGTGGTAAGAGTACCTAGTTACTACTATATTTATATTTCATTGGATACATTTTAAAATTTTACTTTTAAATGTTAATGTTTACATCACAAGGAAATTGCTTCCTTTGCTACTACTTACATAAGTACTTTATTTTATTATTATGTTTTCTGGTATGGGGGATGGAACTCAGGACCTTGAGCTTGCGAGGCAGGTGTGGGTCCGCTGAGCTACATCTCCAGCCCTTACACAGTAAGTTTAACTCCAACTCTAAAATATACAAGGAGGAATTTTTCTTCTAGAGTGTGGGGTAAGCTACAAAAAATTTTAAAGAGATCTACTGTAGCAAAATTTTCATACATGTACATAAAAAAACGTGCTGAATAAGAATGTTCATGTATATAGTATTTGAAACAGCAAAAAAATTATAAAGAATGCACATGTCCATCAATTTGTATAATAAAATGTGATATTTTCATATAACAGAATGTTATAAGAATAAGTTAGATCAATTTATCACCTTGAAAATATCTCAAGCTTTAGCAGATGCTAATTAAACCTGGTCCTCAGAATTAAAGCAGGCTCAGCCTTCTCTTGTTTCCTATCCTCACAGCAGAGAAACCAGACCAGGAAATAGAAAGTCTTAAGGCTGTGTGACATCACCTAACCCTTACTCCTGAAGCAGACCACTGAGTAGGTGTGTAACACAGCTGTGTGCTGTGTTCTGTGTTGAGTGCACAGTCCAAATGGCAAGTGAAAGTAGCTACATTTATTGAAGATTACAGGAAGCTGTGCTCAGGGCAAGTCCATACTGACAAAAATATGGCACAATCAGAGAATTTGTTACAGGCTGACAGAGTATCAAAAACCACTGTGCGCAGAACACAGTGCACAACACACAGCACAGTGCCAGATAAATTGGGCATTTGGGATTAAAAGGATGTGCACCTTGGCCCGGTTGCCTTCTCCTAAATCTCTATGTATGATTGACAGGAGTGATTGACAGGGTGCTATGTCATCTCAGGGGCTCTCAATACACATGCTTGTGCCAGAATTCACTTTGATCTTAATTACATTTATAAGATGTAGTTCATATTCATGATCTCTTAATAAAGTTTGGGTAGGGTGCAGGTGACTGAATGTCAGGAGATCAAATGGCATGTGCTCTTAGGGTGGCAAAGATCTCCTTGATTTTTGTACATTATTTTCCACCTCTCTTAGGACATCAAGAGGAGGAAAGGCCCTAAAGCAGTGGTGACAAACCTATGTATGTAGAGACCTCCCTGTCGGCAACAAGCCAAACATCAAGTACGGGTAACAGTTTTATTCTAAACTGCAACCTCAGTATTCAGTTTTGATTGCAGGGTTTGCACTTTGTGATAAGTAAGTGGGTTTTGGGCAGCAGTTTGGGCACTTGGTCTCTAACAGGTATACTATCATTGCCCTAGGGTGCTGTTTAAATTTAAATGGGTGGAAGGGAGTGATTTCCTTAGTTCCACTGATTTACCTAGTATCATTGTCTATTAAAACAACAATATAAACATACTCTTTTATTATAGTGTGAAATTTTATACCAGTCTTTTTTCTCTTTGGACTTTAATTGTGCTACAGATTTTCATTTGAATGTAATATAGATTATGTGTGAATATCTTTTATTGATGATATCTATCATATTTTCTCTGCAATAAATTTTATATAAAAATGTGAATTAAATTGTTAATTTTCTTAACCACAATGTTCATAAGCATTACAAATGTTTGTGAATTGAATTATTATTATTTTTAGTTCATAAGTGATCAATGATATATTTTTAAATATTTATAATTATTAAACCGGCATCAGTGGGGCTTTTTAAATTGACATATCATATAAATGAATTTTACATTTTTCTAAGAGACAGGTTTGGTATCAGATCATTCATCCCTAGCTTTTGCTTTTGATATTATTCACATAAATAAGTAGATGATGATTAGAATTGTTTTAGCTATATCATTCATTTATTTTAAAAGGTCCAATTACATGCAACATATCACTTACTGGTGTTATTTTTAATGATTTAGCAGTGGACCATTTGAATAGGTTTTTCTTCAGTCTGACAAAATAGTGTTAAACACTCTAATTTTCAAAAGAGTTAGTCAGCAAAATAACTTAATTTCTCAATACCAGTATCATTAATCTAGGGTATCTGTTTAGATCCTTCCAGGGCAGTAAAATATCTCTGGCTATCCATGGGGATTGACTCCAGGACCCCCTTCTACCAAAATTCACAGGTAGTCAAGACTCTTACATAAAATTGTGTTGTTTTTACACATAACCCTGTGCACATTTTGGTGATCTGCCTGCCTCAGCCTCCCAAAAGCTAGGAATGTAGGTGTGCACCCCCATACCTAGCTTGTTACCAACTTTAACGACATCTTTATTCTTACCAAGTGTTTTAAGTTAGCTTATTGTTAAACTATATGAAAATAAGCATTTGAGATGATGTCTTGAATGTTTATCTATAAGCTGACAAGAAGAACTTTAGGATAATGTATTTTTAAAAATTAACACATAGAAACATAATAGTAATTTAAATCACATGTAACCTTTATGTCATTAAATTTTAAAGCCTTTATTTTTATGTAAACCTCAAGCTTCTCAGTCTTTATCTGGTAATGTTTTAAATAAGTTTGGCTACCTGAAAACTTATATGAATAGTCTTTTATGGAAATCTCAAAAAGAACAAAAAAAATGTTGAGCTTAAAAAACTTTTTAATAATGCAGCTGTAGGCACTTTAACCAAATAGTAACACACATTGAACAATGCACAAACATATAAACACAAAAACAATTATTTTAAATAGAAATGCACTCTCAGTTGGCCAAATTGAATCACAACACCCTTTTACAGTTTTTAGGTTAGTAATTGTAAATAGACTAGTTCCAACTTTTTTTTATAGATCATTAAGTAGCAGAAGTCTCTTGTAATAAGAATCAGAAGAAAAATAACATTTTACACCTGTGATAGCAAAGGCTGTTTCTAAGACGGACCCTAGGCTGATGATTTATCTGATTGGAATAGTACAAGCTTTTGTTGTTTTGATAGCCATGGTTGTTTGATAGCCACAGCTGATAGCCAAAACTGCTGTTTTGATAGCCACATGTAATTAACTGTTCCCTCTAAAGAGAGACTGTTAAATGTAATTTCATGTTTTTTATTCTCAGCAGGTTTTGGTGTAAAAAGAGAGTAGGTGATTCATGCTCTTTGGAGCTAAGTATGCATTGCGAACAGTGTGACAGGAAAGTCTACCAAGGCTCCGATCTACCTTGCTGCAGATCACAGTTTATTCCATTTTAAAAAGAAACAAGGAAAAAGAAGGCTGCTCTTACCATGGGTCTGTCCTCTCTTCCTCTTAGTCTTGTGACAGACATCTGGACCCTATTTAGCTAAAGGTTTTTGACATTTGCTGGCCTGGCAAGATGTTTTGGAGAGAAATCATGGCAAGCGAGAGTCAGTCCTCTGGGGACGGGCCTGGGGGTATCCTTTAATAAATGTTTCCATGTAAAGCTGTTCAGAAACTCATAAGCGTTCCTAGGAATGTATTTTGCTTTATCAAAGAACTTATTTATGTTGTAAAAACCAGTCTTTCTGTCTTATAGTGAAGCACTTTTGAGGGGAGGGGAAAGTAAAAGGAGTTAATTTTAGTTTTGTCTAAGGGCTGAAAGGCCAATAAATTTGGAGTATAGCTTTTATAGTTTTTGAGAGTTTGAGAATTAAATCTAGACCAGTTTTTAAGAATATGACCCAGCACCTGAGATGAATAGAACCTTCTCAGGTGAAGAAATAGAAATGACAAATAAATATATGAAAAATTTTTCAATATCACTGGCTATTCAAAAAATGCAAATTAAAACAACACTGAGATTTTATCTCACTTCAGAAAGAATGGCTGCTATTAAGAAATCAACCAAGGGCCAGGGATTTAGCTCAGTGCAACCTGCCTCGCAAGCACAAGGACCCAAGTTCAATCTCCAGTACCTGGTACCCGCTGCCCAAAATATCAACCAATAACATGCTGAGGGAGGAAAATGAACCCTTCATCCCTGTCAATGGAAGTGTAGATTGATACAAACACTGTGGAAATCAGTGTGGAGATTTCTCAAAAAACTAAAACTAGAGGTTCCATTTGACCCAGGCACTCCCCTTCTTGGTATCTTCCCGAAAGAATTAAAAGCATCATACCACAGTGATATATGCTCACCTATGTTCACAGCAGCACAGTTTGCAATAGCTAAATATTGGGAACAACCCAAATGCCCATCAACTGACAAATGCATAAAAAAGATGTGATTTTTTTAATACAGTAGAGTACTACTCTGCCATAAAAAAGTTGAGCTTCAAACATGTATCGCTAAATGGATGGACCTTGAAACCATACTCATAAGTGAAATAAATTGGACACACATGTTTAAAGGCTGCATTGTTTCTTTGGTGTGAGAAACCAAAAGTGGACTAAAGATTAAAATGTATAATAGATATTGGGAATTGGGAAATGGAAAGAAATTGTTCAAATAGGAAGGGGAACAAGGGAAGAGGGAGGGAGAAAGGAAGGAAGGGACAAGAAAAAAGAAAATCAAAGGTAAAAAGGAAACAAAGCTTTCGTACATAGGGAGGGGACTGGGCTTGAGAGAAGGGGTGAAGGAAATAAGAGCCATGGGATGTACCATGTACAGGTGCAAATTCCCTACAATGAGTGTTATCATTATATATGCCTAAAATGTACCAATAAATGTTCATATATATATATGAAAAAAGAATATGGCTCAGAGTTGTGAAGGTCAGCTTTACTCTGGAAAGGTCTCAGGAAGGGCAAAACTCACCA